TGAGAGTCACTCAAAGCAAAGCCCGATAAACCATCATGGCCAGGGGCAGCTGGACAAACACTGTGAATAAATACAACGTGACATCTTGGATGGCACCCCGGAACCACAAAAGGACACTTAGGCAAACATTAAGGAAACCTGAATAAAGTGTTAACTAAAGTCCTATCCTTAGTTAATAATAATGTATCAGTATTAGTTCATTAATTGTGAAAAACATAGCATACTAATACAAGACGTTAGTAACAGAGGAGGCTGGGCTTCAGGTTAACGGGAACTCCGTGTACTACTACATTTGTCTATATATCTAAAACTGCTCTAAAATTAAAAAAAAAAAACCTATTTATTTAAAAAGTCAGGAAAAAAGTCCACAAGAGCTGGGCTGAAATGCCACATGCTGCCACCAGGTGCCACTCTTGATGACACAGGGTAGAGTTAAGCTTCTCTTTGTGCCATTGTAACTTGAAGTCCAGGGAGTTAGTTCCCTGCTTTGCCAATTATTTAAGGTCAAGTTCTGTTTTTTTTTTCTTTAATTTCAGAGTATTACAGGGATACAATGTTTTGGTTACATGAATTGCTGTTGTGCAATTTGAGTCAAAGTTATAACATGCCCACACCAAGATAGCAGGCATCATGCCCGTTGGTGGAGTTCACCCCCCACCCTACCTGCTCTCCTTTGCACACACGGATGTTGATCCATTAGCTCCAACTTAATAGTGATTACATGACATACTTCACTCAGCAGATTGGTCTCCAGTTCCATCAAGTTGTTACAAAAGGTTGTTAGTTCTCATTTTATAATGGCTGAGCAGTACTCCGAGGTGTAACATTCTGTTAATCCACTCACGTAGTGATGGGCACTTGGGTGGGCTCTGTATCTTTGCCACCGTGAATTGTGCTGCAGTAAACACTCTCGACATGTGTCTTTTTGATGAAATTGACTTTTATTCCTTTGGGTAAACATCCAACAGAGGGATTTCTGGATCAGATGGGAGGTCTCCTTTCAGTCCTCAGAGGATTCGGGACACCACCTTCCACAGAGGCTGTGCGAGGTTGCAGTTCAGCAGCGGTGTGTAGATCTTCTCTCTCTGCATCCACACCAGGATCTGATATTTCCAGACTTTTTTTGTTTTAATTATTGGGGATTCATTGAAGGTACAAAGAACCAGGGTACTTTGATTGCATTTGTTAGGTAAAGTCCCTCTTATATTTGTGTCCCGCCAAAAGGAGTGTCACACACTGTCACTTACCCCCACCTCTTCCCTCCTCTCCTCTCTCTACTCTTCCCTTCCCCCATCTGCATGTTTCAGGACTTTTGGGAAAAAAGCCATTCTTGCCAGTTAGGGGATACTTTGTTGTGGTTTTGATATGTGCTTCCCTGATGATTGGAGATATTGAGCATATTTTTGTGTTTATTTGCCATAAATATATGAAATGCTTCCCAAATTTGTGTGTCATCCTTGAGCAAGGACTATGCTAATCTCCTTCATGTCCCGATTTTAGTATATGTGCAGTCAAAGCAGCCCCTAAGGTCAGATTCTATATCTCAATTTAATTAGCCCCAAATATTATGGAGTCTTATAAAGCTATCATGTAACATAAACAAATAGAATTACAACATTTTTTTCATGAGTCCTTTGGTTTTTGTTTTACCTAAAAGCTTCTAGTTTTGACATGAGTTCTAATGAAGGTATTCAAACAAGATTTTTGAGAGCTGGGCAAGGTGGCTCACACCTCTGTAATCCCAGCACTTTGGGAGCTGAGGCAAGAGGATCGAGTAAGCCCAGAAGTTCAAGGTTAAGTGAGCTAGTACCAGACCACTGCACTCCAGCCTGGGTGACAGAGCTAGACTCTGTCTCTTAAAAAAAAAGTTTTTGGCAGTGCCTGTGGCTCAAAGGAGTAGGGCGCCAGCCCCATATGCCAGAGGTGGTGGGTTCAAACCCAGCTCCGGCCAAAAACTGCAAAAAAAAAAAAAATTTTTTTTTTTTAAAACAAATGAATTAACTTACAACTAACAGTTGGCATACATGTGTTCAAACACCCAGTGTTTCTTAAACAAAAACGTGCTGCAGTGCTCAAAACCCACCTCTTGTTCTATTTTTATTTTAGTTTATTTTTCCTATACAATTTTTGGATTTCAACTTTCGTTCAAATTTCAACTTTATTTTTCCTATACAATTTTTGGATTTCAACTTTAGTTCCTAACAATACATTGTCTGAGTCATGAAACTGAAAACAGCCATCCTGAGGGCAGTGTCAGCACTCTGCAGACTCTCAGCACCCCTGTGGGTCACAGGGAGGAGAATTAGTCGTTATCCTCCACTGCACAGACAAGGAGACCGAGGCACAGAAAGGTTAAGCAAAGACGAGCTGGGAGCGGGTTCCTGGTGCCGGATCTCACCCTGGCTGCTGCGCTGCTCCGCCCCTCCGAGCGCTGGTTCTCGTCTTCTTGGCCCTTGGGAGTTTGTGAGAGACAACCAGCTCCGCTATTGACTCCTGGAGTGGGCTCTCGCATGCTGCTGGCTCTGGGAAGTGTGGTTCTTCAGGCTTCCTAAGCTGATAGGATTTATTAGAGGCCATTAGGCATTTTACAGGATGAGGGAGGGCCAAGGACGCAGATGAGTGGAGTCTCCTGTCACCAGCCACTAAGTTACATCTCCTTAGATTGCGCCAGAGCTTAACAGCTTACTTGGGCTTGCCGACCAACTCGCTCTGAGAAAGCCTTCAGTGCAGTCTTCACTTGGCAACGCTTCATTTCTTCAAGGCACAGGTGGTTGATTTTTGTGTCTGATTCTAAAGAGCTTGTAGTGCTCTTAGGAAGCATCCTAGGATTTAGGATCGTTTTTGATCAGCAGTTGTTCAAAGCTGTGGAAGCGCAGCTTAAGGGCGGCTTCAGAACTTCTCGTTTACCCACAGTGCTAAGCACCAAGGCCCTCTCCTGGTTGGAATCTGCGACTAGGAAAGTGTTTGTCACTTCTTAAGGCATATAACTGGAGAAAGGATGGGTGTCAAGGCTCACAGCCTCAATCCTTCAACTTCGTTATGGCTCCACACAGACAGGAAATAAGATCACATTTTAGAAAGACTCTGAAAACATGTCTTCACCAGCCTTGAGTTTGCAAGCCATTTCTGGCTGCACCAGTCTGACTACTGGTTAAATGCAAAAATAACTGGGAAGAGAACGGAGCTGGAGCCAGGAGATGGAAGCCTGGTCCTGGCACAGTAGCCAGCCGTTCTTGTTGTCTTAACTAACTCACTTCTTGTCTACGGATTTCATTTTCCCCACTGAAAAACTGGATTCATAATAGCGCTGAGCATGGCTTAGGGGTTTTGTGAAATCTAAGTGAGATATTTGTGTGAAATCCCTTCGTAAAGTGGAAGATGCGGTAGGAATACAGGAATCGTTAAGGATGGTCCTTGGAAAGACGTTATTTTCAATGAGTGTCTGGGAATTCTCTTCATTGAATGAGTTTTAGTCCTTTACGCTCAGGGTGAATTACCTACATTTCCACCATCTTCTTTACCTGGAAAACACGTTGCCTGGCATATACTAGATGATCAATTAACACTTATGAAGTGACAAGTAGGTAAACAGAAACATTTTTTTTTTGTAAATTGTGAAATAGAAAGCACCATACAATATGGAGTATGGCAGGATGGGACCCACAAAAGATTCAAACTCCTCTCTCACTGTGGGATTTTTTATTGCTACTGCTTGGAATAATAGGATAATTTTTGTTTTATTAGTGTTTGGAATAATAGGCTGTTATCCTCTTTGCCAAGCACATTTAAAACACCTCTAAATGACGTTCCATAGAAATGAGAAAATCAAAGGGCCTGTGTCAGTCTGTTAGAGGATTCCAGAATGCTGACAGTCAGCTAAAGCTTATTATTTATTATTTATATTTATATTGCTGCATTTAATTCTGTTTGGCACAACTGTGTAAGTACCAAATTAATTGAAAATTAGTTGTAAAGTATTTGATCAATGTTTCATGTCGTCTCCAAACACTGAATGCATTATGTCAGTAATTGGGCTGCTGGAACATTTCCCCGGATATGAGTTGTAAGATCTCAGCCCAGTCATCCTATTCAGTTACTAAAAAGTCTTTCCTTTGAAGTGTGGACACTCTTCCTGGTGTGGAAAGCCTTGGGCTTCTAGATCCTTGAACGTGGCCTCTTGACTAAATCCATATTTTTGCAGAACAAATTATTTTAACAAAGTCAGTTGCTCTGTGAATTTTGGACTGGGTGTAGGGGTCACACTCGGGGATCTGGAGGGACACACATGGCCTTGAGGCTGCAGGTTCCCCATCTCTGCCAGTAGCAGTGTCTAGAATTACCTGGAATCACCTGTAGAGAAGCTACTGAAAATTACATTGAAAAGAAAAAGGTTCTTAGAAAACTCTGGGAGATATAAAAAAAGAAAAACCCAGCCAACCAAATAACCCCCACCCCCACAGGCCAATGTAAATGGTTCTTCCCATATCCTACCCCCAGCTCTCCAGAGCAGTTTGTCCGTTTTTACACACACTCGTTCACTGATTCGCTCATGAAACAACATTCTGAAGGACCTCCTGGGGCCAGCCTCTGCATAAGGTGCGAGGTACAGAGCAGCCTAGCCTCACTCCTGACCTTTTTTGAGACATCGAGGACTAGACAGCCAGCCACCGGGTCAGCCATCACCCAACCCGCACAGCTTGTGACTGCGGCATCCACACTGTGCTGTGGGAGTTCGGGGACCAAGTGACAGGTGCTGCCTCCCGGGTAAGTGAGAAAGAGAACGGAAGGCAGGAAAGGGGAGGCTTTAAGCAGAAAGAAACATCCCAGCTTTCTAGATCTAACAGGATGATAAGGGGTTGGGGGCTTTTGTTAAACAGAGAGAAGGATAAGGTACAAGTTACATATGATTCAATTTTGTGTGTGTGAGAAAGAATCTGATTTTAAGTGCACCGGGAATTGCAAAGTGAGTAACCGCCGCCCATACCCACCTTGCTGGCTCTTCTGAGAGGGAGGCTCGCAGGAGGGGCCTCTTGTTTCTGAAGGACACCACTTCCTTTCCTCAGCTGAGAGAGCCAGCCAGCTCTCCCGGAGGGTCAAGGACAGTGGGAAAAGCAGGACCTTTTGGGTGGGGCCAGGATGACTCAGGGAGCTGGTGATGAGCCTGTGGGTGGGAGGCTGAGCCTCCAGGGACAGTGACCCATTTATCAACAGGTAATTGCTGTCCTCAACTGCCACAGACATTACTTTGTGGTGAGCAAGGACCACGTGTCTTTTAGTCATTCTGCCCATTTTTAAATATAAAAGGTTTTCCCTCTAAAAGAAAGTTCCTTTTCATTTTTAAATCTCAGGTGCTGATGGGAAGGGCTGGGACCATCTCATAGAGATCCTTCCAGCACGGCCTCCCTGTTCCCATAGTAGCACCCTGGTTTTTCTTTTAGGGAACGAGCACGCCCTCAATCTCATGAACCAAGTAGGGCTCCCGCTTGGTGCCCCTGACAGTGCGGAGCACACGACCGAGGCCTGGGTGAAGAGAAGGATGTAGTCCTTTGGCAAAGCTGATGGCTTAGGGGTAAGCACGGGACCCAGGACAGGCCAATCAGAGCCAGCCCTGGGACCCTGACTGCCATGCTCTGTGGGCATGATGACAGGGCTGGCAGGAATAAGCCTGCTGCCTCTGGGGACCCTCTTGCCACCACGGAGAACTGCCTGCCAGAGAATAATGCCAACACAAAGAAAAGTGGAGCTGACATGTGAGGACAGATTTCTAAGCCAAATGTGTCCTACTGGCAATTAGGCAGGCCAATATATTTCTATTTGGCTTTCTCTAGATTGAATTTGGATTTTGCCACACAGCTGAAACAATCCTGATGAATACTGGTCCTTATCAAGACTCTTTGAACACTTCCCACACCAGATGCCCAGCTGGCTGGTTCCATCCTGAAACCTCGTGTGTGAGGGTTTTGGTTTCATGCCATGTGGAGCTGCGGTTGCCTGGAAGTCTGTGCTGTTTCCCTCTGCCTCCTTTCCCTGGCAACTTTGAGGTCTTAAATGGGAAAGACGAAACTAATGTCACATTTGTATGGTGCTTTATATTTTATAATTATTTCTGTCCTGATTTTTTATTTTTGCAAGGAACAAAAACTCAAAGTAACTAGCGAACCACCATTTATTCCCTAAGAATGTAGAATTACACACCAAATGTAGGCAGTACTGCCCAGCTTCATGGGAACTACACAGCACCATACCCCTCCACCTCTGCTTTTCTTAGGGAACCGCTGGCTCTCGCCTGCCTCTCTCACAGCTGCCCCCTCCCCGTCCTCAGTCTGGCTTCTCTGCTCACTCATTTCCTTGCACTCATCCTCACTACCCCGAAATGTAGTCGTAGATCCCAAGGCCTTGTCAACTTCTAACTTGCTTCTCCAGGGCTAAATGACTCAGTCTTTCAAATTTCAAATTCACATGAAAGAGAATCTGACCAGTTTCTGCCAGCTCAGTTGTCCGCCTGAGGTTTTAGCCAGATGT